CTTAACTAATATAATTATTAACGTATCAGTAGAATGAACAAGAACAATAAGCCAAAATAGCACTACAAATAGCACTACCTAGAGCATCTTTTTCTGAACACAATTTTGAACTCTAAAAGAGTTGAAATCGTCCAACAACATACTAGCAAAACTATTTGTGAAATCTTTATCTAGAAAAATCTTTTAGAAGTCGCGATATTCTGCTCAGTAGCTTGCAATATCGAGCTATTAAGAAAAATATGAAACATTAGTGAGCCTCTAATATCATGTTAACATCTAACAAGTACATTAAAAATAGATAGTACACTTAGCGTTCTGTGTGGAGAGATTTTTTCCGAACAGAAAATTGAAGATGAGATGGAAAAAAATAAAAATTGAAGACGAGCAGGAAGATCGAACTTGTCAGTGGATTTAAGCAAAAAAGGTTGGCACAAATGGAGATCAACAATCAAAACTGTAAAGAGATATAACTTCTCCCTAAAACAAACATTGTGAGGTAGAAATTTGTTCATTCAGAGGACCTGGCGGGCCGAGTCAAAGCTAGTCCCAATTAGATTCAACGACTAGTATACCGCATTAGTGGTGATTTCTGATTTATTGTGTTGCCCGTGTTCATACGTCATTAGATAAACAACGTGCGCAATGTGTTCGAAAAAGTGCTGGCAAAAGGGTGGATTGATTTTGTAGAAGAATCCGATGACCTAATTGTAGTGAAGATATCGCAGTACCCAACACGTTAGTTCATCTAAAACCATTGACATCAACAATTTCAGAATTTTCAACTTTTGGAAGAACCATATTTTTAAAAATATATAGCTTTTAAAGAAATTTTTGGTTTCGACTAAAATGAGAGCCTTGCCTTCAGTTAGAAAGAGTAGTTGAGATAAAATGACGAGTACTCACACTCACCATATTTAAACGAGCCCAAACTTACACAATCGTAAGGTTTTCTTTTCTTTCAGCTCATCTGGTGCCAAAAGGCCCTTATGAATTTACAAACTACATGGGTTTTTAGCAATGGATGAAAATTTTGTATTATCTCGCAAAAACTCAAAAAACTTGGAATATTTGATTAGTGCAGATAACTTAGATACGAGTAATGAATTGATAGCTGATTTAATGCTGTTGATGTAAGCAAGAGATTAATCAACAAATAAATCAGAGATATAAGGCTGAGCAAGGAGACCTTGATCAAATATAAGCAGTGATTGAGTTGTTAGTCGTTTTTAAGGAAGTAAGAAACCTCTTGCACAACTCGCAAGCCATAGAACAGCGGCTCGTTCCGAATTGGACAGTGAAATCAATAAAAGCCAAACCACAAAACGCCGCACGTTTCGTTTAGTGCACTGTTGCTTTCAAAGGTGGCCGGCTATCTTTTGTGGACTTGTAGATCACTGGGGAGGTTGACCAATAA